CTGGCTGACATCACTGGGCCTAACCCAGAATGAGAGGCAGAGTCCCTCCCTTCTTATGTATCTCCCAGAAGACTCCATACTCAACCTGCCTCATATAAATGTGTCCATACCACAGTTCCTGAAGAAACAGATCTACTCAGCAAATTACATGCTGCTCATAGTTATTCTTCCTGTCATTTGAAGATAGGTGGAGAAGAGAGAACAACCTCATATTAATCCCACAGCATCTGTAGGGGTCTGACTACAAAGACACCCCACAGGAAGAACATTAGAAAACCAAACGGAAAACACGGAGAAACCCAGCAAGCTCAATGAGCAAAAACAATATCACAGAAGACATAAACACCAGTAAATCCTCAGACGTCTTTAGTGATACTAATCATAGTATCATAGTCAGCAAAGAAAGCATTGAAAGTTCAAGAGTCAAATGTAAAAATCACTACAATCACTATTCGCAGATGACATGATACTATATTTAGAGAACCCTAAAACCTCTACCAAGAAACTCCTAGAAACAATAGGCTTGTATAGTAAAGTGGCAGGCTATAAAATCAATACCCAAAAATCCATGGCATTCCTATACGCAAATAGTGAAAGAGAAGCAAGTGACATCAAGAAAACAATCCCATTCACAATTGTGCCCCAGAAAATCAAGTATCTAGGAATCAGCTTAACTAAGGAAGTAAAGGACCTGTACAAAGAAAACTACAAAACGCTACTTCAGGAAATAAAAGAGGACACGAAGAAATGGAAAAATATCCCCTGTTCATGGATGGGGAGAATCAACATCATCAAAATGGCAATACTTCCCAAAGCACTGTACAAATTCAATGCAATCCCTATAAGGATACCCATGACATTCTTCAAAGAAATGGAGCAAACACTCCAGAAATTTATATGGAACAATAAGCCCCCACGAATAGCTAAAGCAATTCTTGGGAAAAAGAAAATGGGAGGAATCAACCTCCCTAACTTCAAACTCTACTACAAGGCAGTAATAATTAAAACAGCATGGTACTGGAACAAAAGCAGAGCTGCAGACCAATGGAACAGAGTTGAATATACTGACATTTCCTCCCAAACATATAATCATTTAATTTTTGATAAGGGGGCAAGAAAAGTGAAATGGAGCAGGGAAAGCCTCTTCAATAAACTGTGCTGGCAAAATTGGACGGCTACATGCAAAAAAGTGGGCTCAGATCTCTGCCTAACACCATGCACAAAAGTAAGATCAAAATGGATTTATGACCTCAACATCAGACCAGAATCCATAATGTTTATTGAAGACAAAATCGGCAAAACTCTCCATGATATTGAAGCTAATGGTATCTTCAAAGATGTCACGCCACTGGCCACGCAAGTGAAAACAGAGATAGACAAATGGGACTATCTTAAACTAAGAAGCTTCTGCACCTCAAAAGAAACATTGACCAAAATACAAAGACAGCCTACAGAATGGGAAAGGATATTAACCAAGTACACATCCGACAAGGGGTTGATATCAAGGATATACAAGGTACTGGTTAAACTCAACAAGATGAAATCACCCAACCCCATCAAAAAATGGGGTGAGGAAATGAACAGAAACTTTCACAAAGAAGAAATTCGAATGGCAAAAAGGCACATGAGAAAATGCTCTACATCACTAATCATCAGAGAGATGCAGATCAAAACCACAATGAGATATCATTTCACACCACAGAGACTGGCCTACATCCACAAGAACAAAAGCAACCGGTGCTGGCGCGGATGTGGCGAGAAAGGCACCCTCCTTCACTGCTGGTGGGAATGCCGGCTGGTCCAACCCTTTTGGAAAACAGTATGGACGACTCTCAAAAAATTAGAATTTGATCTGCCATTTGACCCAGCTATAGCACTCCTGGGAATATATCCCAGAGAGGCAAAAAGGTATAGTCGAAGTGACATCTGCAATTGTTTGTTCATTGCAGCACTCTTTACAATAGCCAGAATCTGGAAAAAACCTGAGTGCCCAAGAACAGATGACTGGTTAAAGAAACTTTGATACATTTACACAATGGAGTACTATGTAGCTGTTAGAAAAGATGAAGTTATGAAATTTACATAGAAGTGGTACTACATGGAAAGTATCATGTTAAGCGAAATGAGTCAGAAAGAGCGGGATAGACACAGAAAGATTGCATTCATCTGGGGAACATAAAGCAACAAAAAGGGAGAGTAACACCCAGGAATGGCTGAGATTAGTACCAGGAATTTTGCTCCATGAATGGAAGGCCAGCCACAGGCTCTAGGTGAAAAGGAAGCTCAGATAGAGAAGAGAGTACCAAATGAAGGGTGTTGTGAGGGCCCTCCCAGGGTGGGAGAAGCATGCTAAAAGTAGTCGATAGACCAAACATGATTGCCACTCAAAGCCTCTCTTGCAAAACACAGTACCCAAAAGAAGAGAGAGAGAACAAGGGGGAATACCCTGCCACAGAGGCAGGATGGGATGGGGGGGGAATGAGGGTTGGGGGGGGTGGATGCTGGGACCCGTGGGGATGGATGACGGGCACTGGTGGAGGGATGGGCACTTGATCATTGTATAACTGAAACCCAAGCACAAAATTTGTAAGCCTATAACTGTACCTCGTGGTTTTTCACTAATAAAAAAAGGAAAAAAAAATAAAAGGGCAAAAAAAAATCACTACAATCAGAAATAAAGAACATGGTAGGTGATATAAAGAAAAAGTCAATGTAAAGAAAAAGTCAGAGAGATAGTAAAGGAGGTGGAGTGCTTGCCTTGCGTGCAGCCAATCAGGCTTCTATCCCCGGCACCCCAGATGGCCCCTGAGTGACTAATGGTCTCTGAGTGCAGAGACAGGAGTAACTCCTGAGCCACCACTGGGTGTGGCACACACACACACACACACACACACACACACACACACACACACACACAGATCGCTTCCCCTTGTTTTTACTTTTAGAACTCTTCTTTTTGTCAATGGTACCTTAAAGTCCCTCGGAAGAATCTTGTGCTCAAATGAATAAGTCCCATTACAGATCATTACCAGAGCCAGAGTCTGATTGTATATGGAGCTGAGTTGTCCTGATCCCTTTCCAAAACAGCACTTGTATTATTTTATCAATCTAACTTTGCTATATATAAGTAATGAATAATTTTCTGTGAGACACTTAATTAAAGAGAGTGTGAGTACTTGCCCATCCACATTCTAGAGTTAGACATGTTGTTATTTTCCCAATTCTAGATTTTTGTCAAGGGCTAACAAATGTTACTATTGAAACAGATAAGAAGTGCGTTTCCTTTATGCTTTCATGTCACATATAAAGAAAAACTCGCTAATATATGGTATCTCTGTATCTATGAGATATGAACCTACGAACATATAAACTATTTTTAATCACACTATATACCTTTATTTTCATCTACACACCTACAGAGAGATAGAAGGCAAACAAGTACTTGGTTCCATGTCTGAGAAAAAACTAACCTATTTCTCTAAAACACAGGTTTATGTCTGGAAACACTGGCTTTCGCAAAGCTAATGATGAATATCATTGATCGCAGGAGAGCTGAGCCATACGTGAATAGAAAACAACACTGTAATCCTATAATCCAGAAAAGTTGAAAGCAGAGAACCCAGTGAGACCCACATCCATGGCAACATTGTCACATAAATTTTTCTTCATACTTTTGTTACCACAAAGCTTTTAATTTTAATAAGTATAGGAACTCTGTGACCACTACCCAGCCAGGAATGCCCTCCAGAGTTCAAGATTCTGCTCTGTCTAATGTTCATTGATTTAAAGAATGCCTTTGATTCTGTTGAGACTGAAGCAGTCATCGAGGCCCTAGCCAAACAGGGCGTTCAAAGTCAATACATCAGGATCCTCCGTGAGCTGTTTTTACGGATTCACTACCAGGATCTCACCATTCTACAGGGAGGTGATCATTGATGTCAAGAGAGATCGTTAGGCAGGGTGGTACTATTTCAGTGAAACTCTTCAGAGCCACCCTCGAGAACATCATGTGATGACTGGAATTGGAAGGAATGGGAGTGAAGATAGATGGTCGGCAACTACACCACCTCTGCTTCACTGATGACATTGTTCTTATAACACCAAACATCAGCCAAGCAGTACAAATGCTAGCCGACTTTGACTGTGAGTGTAGAAGGATTGGACTATAGCTGAATCTAACAAAGACAATGTTTATGAGAAATGGTCTCGTTCCTGACATTCCATTCACTCTCAATGGGACAACCATCTCCGAATGCAACAGTTACGTGTACCTAGGTCGATAAGTCAACATGATGAATGACCTGGCACTTGAGTTGTGCAGGAGAAAGAGAGAGGCTTGGAACGCCTTCAAGAATGTCAAAGAAATAGCTAAGAGGACAAAGAACCTCCGGTTCCAAGCACATCTCTTCGAGTCCACTGTTCTTCCTGCATTAACATAAGCCTCAGAGACGTGGGCCCTATGAAAACAGGATGAGAATGCTATTCGGGTCTCCCAAAGAGGAATCAAAAGAGCTATGCTTGGAGTATCACGCTTCACTCAAATGAGAGAAAGAATCTGGAGTTCCGACCTCCATCAAAGCTCAAGAATCAGGGATGCTGTCTCATTTGCCAAGGTGTCGAAAATCAGATGGGCTGGACATGTAATGAAATTTGGAGATGACGCTGAACTAGAGCCATTACCGACTGGATTCCACGGGATGTCAAAAGATCATGTGGCCGCCCATCTATGAGATGGTCAGACTTCTTCGTCAATACCCTGAACAATCAATTTGAGTTTCTTCATGTTCCTAGAATGAGCTGATGCCATTGGGCTGCATTAGCATGAGACAGGGATGAATGGAGACGTTACTGGCACCTGCTCGAGCAAATAGATGAAAAGCGGGATGTCAAGTGATCAAGTGATCAAGTATAGATATTTGCTCTAATTGTTATCTGTTTTTCATATTTTAAAGGGAACAATGCATTTTAGTTTGTTTTGCTTTACTGTTGCTTAAACTCACCTTGCTACAGATCCACTTCTCAGGATTTTCATCTCTGAATTTCTTACACCCATATGAATCAGGACTATACTTGCTGGATGTGTGAATCATTGGGAGATACTTCTCATTTTTATGGTAGTTAGAAAATGGCAAAAACCTGAAAGCAGAGGTGATGCTTTTAGTTTGATGTCTAGATATACAAAATCAAAAACTTAGAACCTAGAGAATTAGTTTAGTAAAAAGTATACATCACCTGGAATGAGATCATTTGACTTACTCTTCAATCTATGAATCTTCATTTCTTATTCTGTGCATGGAAACCCTAAAGCTTTCCTCAAAGAATTTATAGGATTCTCTACTATTTTACTAAGGTGAGAAAAATTAAGAAAATTTATAGATATAATAGTAAAAGTAAGTAAAGTAAAGGCCCTCCCGTTGATCATCGATTTGCTCGAGCGGGCCCAGTAACGTCTCCATTGGAGACTTTGTTGTTACTGTGTCTGGCATATCGAATACTCTCGGTAGCTTGCCGGGCTCTCCGAGAGGGGTGGAGGAATCGAACTTGGGTCGGCCATGTTGGCTGCGTGCAAGGCAGACGCCCTACCCGCTGTGCTATCGCTCCAGCACCTTAAAAATTCATCATGGACACCAAAGTATGCTTGATTTTTAAAATGGTAGCCTGAAATAGAAAGGACTTCCAGGACAAGGAATTCTAATGGAAATAGGTTTTCTTCAAATCCAAACTCACCAAGTATCAGAGGCACATTTAGTACAGATTATAAGTAATGGAGTTTTTGAATGGCTAGACCTGTATTCACATTTTAGCTTCGCCTTGCTAGCTGGATTCCCTCATACAAATTTTTTTTATTCCTCTGTGGATTTTACTTCCATATTGGATTGCTGTAAGGATTGAACAACTAAGTACTAAAGCAAAATAAGAAGACTGAAAAGAGGAAGCATCCAATAAGCAAAGAGGTGCTGAAAGGAGAAATGAGAGCACAAATAGCTTGTTGTCATTATCACCATCATCCCTCTCATCATCATCATCACAGCCATCACCATCATTATTATCATCATAATCACCTCCACATCATCATTACCATGAGCATCAGAGCCATCACCATCATTAACAACGTCATCACCACCATCACCATTATCACCAGCAGTCCTCTCATCACTTATGGCCATAAACATCATCATTTTAAGGTTTTACTATGATCCATATAAAAGACCACAATTTAAAACCCATAAATGCGGAACACCTGAGATTGTGATATGGTTTTAGACAACCTATGAATTGTCCAGTCCATCACCAAAACCATCTGGAATAAAGATGTAATATATATATATATATATATATATATATATATATATATATAGCATTGTAGCACCGTCTTTCTATTTTCATGGATTTGCTCAAGCAGGCACCAGTAATGTCTTCATTGTGAGACTTGTTGTTACTGTGTATGGAATATTAAATATGACACGGGGAGCTTTCCAGACTCTGCTGTACGGGCGGGATACTCTCGGTAGCTTGCTGGGATCTCTGAGAGGGATGAGAGGGACGGAGGAATCGGACCCAGGTCAGTCGAGTGCAAGGCAAACACCCTACCCTCTGTGCTATTGCTCCAACCCCCCCCCCAAAATAGGAGGTGACTTGTTGTGCAGAAGCTTGGCAAAGTTGGAGGATGATGCAACATCATCAGCACTATTCCTGAAGAAAGAGGGTGGCATAGGGGCTAAGACACAAGGACAGAAGGAAATCAGGTGAGCAATTCATCCCCAGCTCCCTCTCCCGGTGCCTGCGTGTCTGTAAGGAGTCTGTCCTCAAATGCCTTTACACCATCTCAGGGGAGAAGGCTGAAGAGAATATTTGGATTTTAATCTAAATCTGCCCATTGTGCCTTCCTTCATTCATCTCTATGCGGACTTAACTACTGACAAAATTAACCCACTGCTTTTCCTCAAAAGATACTGAGGATTCCCATCCAATATCAATTTTGGGAAGCCTTTGGGCAATTTCTTTGATTTAATTTTGTTGGGGGACTTTGGGATCACACCCAGGAGATTTTAGGGCTAATTGCTGACTCTGGACTCAATGATCACAGTGCTCAGGGGACTAATGATCAGGGTTGATATGCACTACCAGGGAGAACATCTGGGCTGGACACAGGCAAGGCAAGCGCCTTTAATCCCTGTAGTTTTCCTCATGCCCCTTCAGTTGAATTAAGTATGATGACAGGCCAGGTTGAAAAATATTTTTTTTTGTACATGGTTGAGCAATATTTTTTGTATTTTTTAATTTTTTAAATTTTTTATTAGTGAAACACCATGAGGGACAGTTGTAGACCTACAAATTTTTGTGCTTGGGTTTCAGTTATATAATGATCGAGTACCCATCCCTCCACCAGTGCCCATTCTCCACCACCACTAATCCCAGTATCCCTCCCACTCCCCCAGCCCCCCATTCCCCCCCCCATCTCTGTGGCAGGGCACTCCCTTTTGTTCTCTCTCTCCTTTTGGGTGCTGTGGTTTGCAAACGAAGCATTGAGTGGCAATCATGTTCAGTCTATAGTCTACTTTCAGCATGCATCTCCCATCCTGGGTGGATCTTCCCCAAACCCTTTATTTGGTGCTCCCTTCTCTATCTGAGCTGCCTTTACCCCTAGAGTGTGCGGCTTCCTCCAAGCCACGGAGTAAACCTCCTGGTATTTATCTCGGCTATTCTGGATGTTAAGTCTCCTATTTTGTTACTTTATGTTCCCCATATGAATGCAATCTTTCTATGTCTGTCCCTCTCTTTCTGACTCATTTTGCTTAGCATGATACTTTACATGTAGTACCACTTGTATGTAAATGTTGACAAATATTTTAACCCATCTAAATAAACACATATTGGGTCAACTGCTCAATTCACTGAAAAGGACCATAAAATGCAGAATTTTTCTATTTATAGCAAAATAATCTACACTTTAGAATAGATATAGCAAATAAATATGTCTCTACCTTTAGTCTAAGAAGGGATATAAATTTTGTTTTTACTTCAATATTTTCAAAATCTAAATTTCCAGGTAAATCTACATGTCAGAAGGATTTCCAAACATAGTCCAGTCATCAATGAAGATGTTTTAGACAAGCAGAATTCTGGCTGAAAAAAATGTCAATAAAATGAGCAATAATTTAGAAGAGGAAATACAGAAGCTTCATTTCTGGTGACAGACAACTTCCAAGGAGCTTGTAAAATAAACAGAGCCAGACGGGTTTCATTCATAAAGTATTTTGCTCTTAACAGCAGAATTCACAGTTGAAATTTAAAACTCAGAAGAAAAGTGCCCACCATAAAGGCAGGCTGGTGGGGGGGTAAGGGAGGGAAACTGGGGTGGTGGTAAATACACACTGGTGAAGGGATGTGTGTAAGAACACTGTATGACTGGAACCCAGTGATAAACAACTTTGCAACTATGTTTCTCATGGTGATTCAATGAAAAAAAAAATGGAAGCAAAGAGAGAAAGAAAAAATAAAGGAAGTGAGCAGCATGTTAGTTAGCATAGATTTCCCCCTTCCCCCCCAGGGTGGAAATAGAAATGTTATATTGGAATATAAAAAATGCAAGTGGCATGACTATCTGTTTAACTAGATGGGAGCTTATGTTGCAAGTTTCCAATTTAACTGAGAAGACATATTTTACCTTTATCTTCACATTTTTCTTAGCAAAAGAGGATCAGAACTCCCTGGATATATTATTATTAACAATCTCAAAGTATGCTAATTTGATTATATCCCTGCAACAACTTTACTATATATGTGTGTGTGTGTATATAGTGTGTATACATGTATATATATGAATGTTACATATATATGTATATATATATATATATATATATATATATATAGGCTGTAGTGATAGCACAGTGGGTAGGGCATTTGCCTTGTACGCAGCCGACCTGGGTTGGATTCCTCCGTCCCTCTTGTCCCTCTGAGCCCAGCAAGCTACCAAGAGTATCCAACCCGCACGGCAGAGTCTGGCAAGCTCCTGTGGAGTATTAAATATGCCAAAAACAGTAACAAGTCTCACAAATGGAGATGCTACTGGTGCCCGCTTGAGCAAATAGATGAACAACAGGAGGAAAGTGCTACATACATATCAATTGATCACTTGATCACTTGATATCCCGTTACTCATCAATTTGCTCCAGCGGGCATCAGTAACAACTCCATTCATCCCTGTTGCATGCTAGTGTAGCCCAATGCCATCTGCTTGTTCTAGGAACATGAAGAGACTCAAACCGATTATTCAGGGTCTTGAAAAAGAAGTCTGACAATCTCATAGGTGGGCGGCCACACAATATATATATATATATATATATATTTTAATTTTTTCCCTTTATTTTATTTTTTTTACAGTTGTAGATTTACAATTTTTTGTGCTTGGGTTTCAATTATACAATGATCAGATACCCATCCCTCCACCAGTGCCCATTTCCCACCACCATGGATAATATCCCTCCCACCCCCATCCCCCCATCCCCCCTGTCTCTGTGGCAGCACAATTCCCTGTGTTATCTCTCTCCTTTTGGGTGTTGTGGTCTGCAAAAGAGGCATTGAGTGGCAAACATGTTCAGTCCATAGTCTACTTTCGACATGCATCTCCCCTCCTGGGAGGATCCTCCAAGCATCCTTTATTTGGTGCTCCCTTCTCTGTCTGAACTGCCCTTTCCTCTAGGATACCCGGCTGGCCTCTAAGTTATGGAGTAATCCTCCTGGTGCTGATCTCAGCTATTCTTGGGTATTAATCTCATACTTTGTTACTTTATATCCCCCAGATGAATGCAATCTTTCTATGTCTATCCCTCTCTTTCTGACTCATTTTGCTTAGCATGATACTTTCCATATTGTACCACTTATATGTAAATTTCATGACTTCATCTTTTCTAACAGCTACATAGTACTCCATTGTGTAAATGTACCAAAGTTTCTTTAACCAGTCATCTGTTCGTGGGCATTCAGTTTTCTTCCAGTTTCTGGCTATTGTAAAGAGGGCCACACAATATTTTGATGTCCTACGGAATCCAGTTGGTAATGGCTCTAGTCCAGCGGTTGTCTGTAAACCTCAATACGTGTCCAGTCCATCTGATTTTTGATGCCTTGGCAAACAA